TTCAAAAAATCAAGGAAATTAGAGTTTGATATGACTGATCTTGGAAGGATGAGATACTTTTTTGGCATAGAAGTGACACAAAAAATCGATGGTATTTTTATTAACCAAAGGAAGTATGCATTGGAAGTTTTGAAAATGTTTGGCATGTTTAATTCCAATCTAGTCCAAAACCCGATTGTTTCTGGATTTATGCTAGAGAAAAATGAGGATGGAGCTAGAGTGGATGCCAGTTACTACAAAGAGAGCATTGGAAGCCTCGTGTATTTAACAGCCACTCGACCAGATTTAATGTTTTCATTAAGCCTTATCAGTAGGCATATGGAAAGATCTGCTGAACTACATTTGGCAGCGACAAAGAAGATCCTAAGGTATCTAAAAGGAACGACCGAGTTTGGGATTTCTACAAGAAGGGAGGAAATGAAGAGTTGATTGCACATATAGACACTGACTATGCTGGGGATCCAGAGGACAGAAATAGTACTTAGGGTTATATGTTTCTATTAAGTTCAGGTGTTGTGTCTTGGTCCTCAAAGAAATAGCCTGTAGTCACTCTTTCCACCACGGAAGCAGAATTCATTGTTGCAGCATCATGTGCATGTCAAATAGTATGGTTAAGAAGATTTCTTGAAAAACTTGGTCATATTCAGAGTGAATCCGCAACCGTTTTTTGTATAGTTCAGCCATCGATGATGAAAACCAGTTTTATCAGTCGACATGAATGACTGAACGATAAATCAACACCGAATAATGGGATGACCCGACCTAGCGTTGCTTTACCTATTGGAGGGCTAATAATCTTTGTGGCTTGTTGGTGTGCTATTGGGACTTAACCCTAGTCGAGCCTACTTACCATATTGTGACTTACCTTAAGTTGGCCATTGGACTATTATAAATTGGTAACTCCCTTTCTCATGTTGAAGCCATGCGTGAGAGAACCCAAGAGAGAGAGGCAGTTTTCCTTCTTCTTTCTTTGTGCATCCTGTTGATTGATCTCTACATATTGCTTGAGGCTTTGTGACTCTTACCTGTGTGGTATCCATCCTAAGTGTGTGGAAGAAACAACAAGCAAAAGAGCAAAAGCAACCATAGGAAGTAAGCTCGCCGGCGGTCGGTCCTCCTCCCGTTTCTTGGTGTTGAATTCGATGATTAATGGTTAACTGAACCCAAAAATCACCTTGAGCGGCTAGAGGAAGATCCTAACAGCAACTGTTATTGCTGATTTAGAGTGGGAAGAAAGTGACAAAGAAGATGAATCAGAGATAGATTCTATTAGTCAAACAGAAAGGAATTCTTCTACAAATGAATTATTAAATGAAGGCTCACCAAACCATCATAGAACAAGAGAAAGATTGCCATCGATTTGGATGAAAGACTACCTCAGTGGAGAAGCTCCTTGTGAGGAAGAGGATATGGCTCACTTGGTCATGTTTGCTGCCATTGACCCCTATTTTATATGATGATACCATGAGGAGGGACAAATGGAGAAAAACCATGGAATTGTTGATTGAAGCAATATAGAGGAATGATACTTGAGAATTAACTGACTTGCCTATTGTAGGAAAGAATATAGGATTAAAATGGGTATACAAAACTAAATTCAATGAGAATGGGGAAGTTGATAAATACAAGACAAGGCTTGTAGCGAAGAGGTACACTCAACAACATGGGGTAGACTATACTTAGATGTTTGCACCTGTGGCTCAGCTAGATACAATTCGTGTGATAATTGCCCTTGTAGCCCAATGGACAATTTATCAACTAGACGTGAAGTCAGTCTTTTTGCATGGTAAATTAGATAAAGAGGTCTTTGTGGGGCAGCCTTGAGGTTACGAACGAAAAGGTGATGACGAAAAGGATATAAACTTAAAAATACTTTATATGGACCTGAGCAAGCTTCAAAAGCTTGGTATAGTCGTATAGAGTCTTATTTCATGAAAACAGGTTTTGCCACTATGAACATACTTTGTTCATCAAGACTAAAGAAGGAGTAAAATTCTGATTGTGTGTCTTTATGTTGATGATTTCGTTCTTACTAGAAATGATAAGTCCATGGTGGATGAGTTCAAAAAATCAAGGAAATTAGAGTTTGATATGACTGATCTTGGAAGGATGAGATACTTTTTTGGCATAGAAGTGACACAAAAAATCGATGGTATTTTTATTAACCAAAGGAAGTATGCATTGGAAGTTTTGAAAATGTTTGGCATGTTTAATTCCAATCCAGTCCAAAACCCGATTGTTTCTGGATTTATGCTAGAGAAAAATGAGGATGGAGCTAGAGTGGATGCCAGTTACTACAAAGAGAGCATTGGAAGCCTCGTGTATTTAACAGCCACTCGACCAGATTTAATGTTTTCATTAAGCCTTATCAGTAGGCATATGGAAAGATCTGCTGAACTACATTTGGCAGCGACAAAGAAGATCCTAAGGTATCTAAAAGGAACGACCGAGTTTGGGATTTCTACAAGAAGGGAGGAAATGAAGAGTTGATTGCACATATAGACACTGACTATGCTGGGGATCCAGAGGACAGAAATAGTACTTAGGGTTATATGTTTCTATTAAGTTCAGGTGTTGTGTATTGGTCCTCAAAGAAATAGCCTGTAGTCACTCTTTCCACCACGGAAGCAGAATTCATTGTTGCAGCATCATGTGCATGTCAAATAGTATGGTTAAGAAGATTTCTTGAAAAACTTGGTCATATTCAGAGTGAATCCGCAACCGTTTTTTGTATAGTTCAGCCATCAAGCTTTCTGTGAATCCAGTACCGCATGGACGCAGCAAACATATTGACGTTCGTTTCCATTTTCATTGTGAACTCTCAAAGGATGGAACTGTGAAGATGAAGCACTGCCACACTCAAGAGCAAATTGCAGATGTGATGGCAAAGGCACTAAAGTTGGATGCATTTGTAAAGCTTCGAAGTTTGTTAGGTATTTGTCCAGAGTCTGATATAAACTGATTGCTAGAAGCATTCAGTTTACGGGAGGATTCTGATATATTTTAATGTTTTTGAATTAGTCTTCTAAGTTTAATTAGGTTATTGCCGCATTTTAGAATAATTTCTGTTGTTTAGGAAACATTGTTTTACTTTGAACTTCTCTCCAGGCATTTCATTTTAACCATGCAATTATAGGATCCACAACTATAATAATTTTTTTTAATTAAATATTTCATTAATTTTTATCAAAATCTGCTAATGTCAAACCATCCCTAGGTGTGATTTTAGCATTCATGGTGATAATTTCATCTATAGGATCCGGATTTACATTTTTTATAGGTATTAATTAAAAGAGCAGGACATCAACACTGATTTTCTCAAAATAAAAGGTTAAATGGAAAATTTGCAGCTGTGGACCTCAACCCTAAGGCCCTGTTCTCTTTACCGTTTTCGGGTCGTTTTCTGTTTTCGATTTTTCAAAACGGTGAAAACGTGTACTCTTTCCCGTTTTCGAAAACGAAAAAAAATTTGTGAAGAAAACACAAAACGACTTTTTTGTCGTTTTGGGCGTTTTCAGTGTAAAACTTGAAAAAATTGAAAACGCGGGAAACCCTTTTTTTTTTTTTTTTTTTTTTTGAGGAGGTGGTGTGGTGATTCTCAAAATTTCAAAAAAAATTAAAAATTAAAAATTTTTTTTTTTTTTTGAGGAGATAGTGTGGGGATTCTCAAAATTTCAAAAAAAATTAAAAATTAAAAATTTTTTTTTTTTTTTGAGGAGATAGTGTGGGGATTCTCAAAATTTCAAAAAAAATAATAAATTTTTTTTTTTTTTTTTGGTGTTTTGAGGTGGTGTTGTGGTGATTCTCAAAATTTAAAAAAAAAATTATTTTTTTTGTTTTGAGAAACTAACAAAAAGAACGCATTTTCAACAATTTCAAAACAAACACTCAAAATACAAAACTCAAAATGAATTCAAAACTCAAAACACAAAACTGAAACACAAAGAGAACACCCCCTAATTTTCTCAAAATAAAAGATTAAATGAAAATTGCAGTTGAGGTCTTCAAATTTTGCCCCATTTTAAAATTTCATCTCTAAGTTTAACTTTCTGATAATTTTATCCTTAATCTTTTACCATTTTTAGTCGTATGATCCCTAATGATAAACCATCACAATGTCCCGTTTCATGTCTCTCTCTGATGATTGGAAGGTATTGCAGAGCTTGTAGGGGTGCTAGCGTTATGAGAATTGATGTTTTGTAGAGTGGGGTTCGGTATAAATTGGTGGTGTCGACAGTGTGGATATAGAGCTGCATCAAATATCAAATATTATTTCTGTAATTTCTTTATTGTTTTATGTTTTATATATTTTTCGATAAAATATATAAAATTTTCATCTTAAGCACCATAGAGACCCAAAAAATTAAAAAAAAATAGGGGAGAAATGCTGAGATAATGTTGTCAATAAATAAAAGATGAACTAATTGAGAAGTTGCAACACAAGGGAGCAAATATGCCTGAGCCTTTAAAAAAAAATAAAAAATAAAAGAGGGGTCTCGTTTAAATATATTTTCATTTGTTATTCTATGTTCCTTTCAAAGTAAATAACTTATTTCTAACTTGTCAAAAAATATTTACTTTAAAATTTACATAAATTTAGATGGAAATATCTTAGCTTAGCCAAACATGCTTACTTGAATATGCCCTCTGTTTCCCGGCATTGCTGCATCACTTGAATCGACCACAAATCTCAAATCCAAGTTGAGATTGATTGCGTGGTTTGCAGGCTACTGCGTCAGCCCGAGATTTTATCCAGTCACCCAAAAAATAAATAAATAAAAAAAGAATGTTGACATTGATTGTAGACAACTCTTCCCGGATCAAAGTAACTTTCCTCATAATCTCATCATAGCTCGGATACACTCTTTCTGGGACTCCCCTTCCTCGTCAAGCCAGAGGGCAAACATTATGAACTTGATGCAAGCCAGCAATTGACAGTTAAAACAATCCTCACACAAACTCCTGATATGTAGTGATATTATAAATTATGAAAAATGATATTAGCAGCAAGCATGAATATTATGAAAACCCAGAAAAAATGATTAAGCAATTTTCTTGTTGGATATTTGAGTTGAAAAGTTCACAACATACATCCATGCTATACTACTGCTGAGGTTCTCAATATACATACATACACTGTCTTTCTGTATGCTGTTTTTTAGAAGAGCAAAATTTCGATCTTTGCCATGCATTCCTTCAAGGTTCTGTTCCATACAAATACATCACCATACACGCTGCTGGCCATATAACAGCGGTAAGTTCTTTTCTCCATTCTCCAGGGATCCTCTATCAGCTATCGAGATCTAGAACATCACTGTCAAGAATGTGTGCGCTCAATTTTGACCACCTCGATCATTCCTCCGCTTGCTTGTTTTCCTTCTGGATCTTGGATTCTTGACAGGATTTGACTCAAGGGTCTTTTGCCCTGGTGGACTGGTAGAGTTTACCAGATTTGTTGGGATTGAAGCTTCCTTGTTCAGTGCAGATTCTGATATCGGATTTTTTGTAGTCCCATCGGAAACAGGTTTTTCATAAGATATAACTGAATCGAGAGCATGAATGCGTAGAGCAAGAGCAGAAAGAGTGGAGACTTTAGCTGCTGTTGAAGGTGATGACCAATACCACCAATCACTTCTCAGGTACTCACTTTTAATAGTTTCCTCAAGTGTGATTATGGCTTGAATCATCTGAAAACGAACAAGAACAATAAAATAAATTTTGCTAAAAGACAGAGCTATCTCAAGCCCTAGTGAAAGATGCAGAGTACAATAAAGAGACTTGAGATTTCATATTACTGGATGAATTCAATTTTTTAGGGGCAATTTAAGTTATAAGGAAATTACATGACCCAATAGTAGTGCAAAGGGCCATAGAATACAAGGGCATAAATAGAAACAACATCAAATCGAGAATAAGATGGCGCCCCATGTAAATTTTGAAGTTAAATTAGGGAGTAGAAAGGTATGCTAACCTCGTAAATTGTATTTGCAGATTTAACAAATCTGCGCCATGTACATCTCCTATTGTGATTTGACCTTGAAATTCTTAGAGCGCCTTCAGGCAGAGCAGCATCCATATCAAGCAAGCTGATCTTAAGAATCTGTAGGATTTCAGAAGCTCTGCCGACTAAAGGTCTCCGTGGAGAATCCGGAATGATACATCTTTTGGACAGCGAAAGTACTAGATTCTTATCCGTCATTTGTAAAACCTGATCCCCTTCGCTAAGAGAAATAGATTTTTGTTTGTCAACTTCAGATCCCTCCTTGCCCATAACCTTTTCTGCACATCTTGACAAATTATTTAATTTCTCGTTTTTGTTCAAGGAATCAATGGTACGGGGATCATTACCAGATTCCTGCAGCCGATTTATGGAATCCGTCCGGATTTCTCCTGCACTAACCTCGTTTTCCCTCATATAGCCCAATACTAGTGCAGGATCACTGGGATGAGGAAACTCGCCTGGTAGAAAGGATGGAATACCACCAGACCCTATAAGTCCGATGTCCTTTATCCTTTCCTTGATTGGGGATTGAATGATAAACCTGGCTTTGATATCCTCATAATTAAATGGACATTCTGGCTCAACGGAACTTAATCCATCCCTGGGCTTCTCAATTACAGATCTTTGAATAATTCCCGTTACGGCAGAGCATGTCCCCTGAGGTGATGCATTCCTCGACTTTTTGTTCTTTGAGGCATCTTCTGTTGGGCTTTTCTTAGAAGTAGACCCCTCAGTTCTGCAATTTTCAATGGAATGCTGGCTTAATTCCTTACCCATTGAAAAACTCTGATGACAAGAGGGACAATGTTCTTTAGAAGGCCACAAAAGCTCCAGGCACTCGCATCTATACATCATGCCATTCTGATTTACTTCAGAACCAAGATTTTTATGGATGCCAATGGTGGTCTTATTCTCTAAGCAAGGACCAAATTTCTTCTTCAAAGCATTCATGGCATTTGTAGCCAGTATAGTTTTTCTCCCTTCAGAGTGAATTGAAGAAAATGATTCATGTTTGTTAAAAATGTGATTCTCAGCATAAAACGAATCTTCGGGTTTTGTACATAGCCACTGCAATATAGAATCTTTTAGATCTCTCTCTCTCTCATTGCTTTCTTGCAGCCAACTTAGTAGTTTCTCAATTTCGGACTCAGACTCATAGGACATCCATGTAGAAGAATTAGGAACCCCAATGAACTCTTCAGGACTCCTCTTTTTGGAAGTCAAGCTCCCATTAGCTACAATCCTTGGACGAGTATCTGGCCAGCATAATACCCAATAAACCCTGCCATTAGAATCTCGTCCCAATAAATCCTTCCTAAGAGATACCTTGAGAAGCTCCGATTCTGTAGAAGCAATTGAGGTCTGCAAACCAGAAATGTCATTTTTGTAATCATTTGCAGAATGGGCATGCTCGAACATATGGCTGCTGGGTGTCGACTGACCAGCAGATAGAAAGGAACTCCGTTGTTCAGTAGACACCGGTAACTCGTTCAAGCAACTGTCTCCTTGAGGTAGATGCAAAAGGGGGAAGATGTTTTTCTGTTGACTTTGAACCACTGCACACTGCTGATATTGTAATTGGTCCACTCCATCAGAAACATTTACAGCTTGATTACTACTGCTGGCACAATGTTTAACCAGATTGCTTCTCGAAGGAGGCCAACGAGGCTCTTTATTGTAATCACTTTGTCCATCGAGCTGTAATAGATTCTCCGGCTGAGAAAAATGACCAGAGAAGGATGAGATGCTAGAATTTTCTCTCTCTAAATTTGCAGCAAATGGCTCTTCCTTGGATTGCAGAGTTTTCAATTCAGAAGAAAGGAAGCGAAGTTTTTGCTGCAATTCAGATGTCCGGGAGGCATGTTGATCGATGTGGTCGTGAATGGTAGCTGAATTCAACACCTCATCAAACAAGAATTTCAAAAGGAGAACTCTCTGCGTAATGTAGAACACCAGAATTATCTCAAGAAAAAGAAAGAGAAGTTGCATGCAAGCAATAAAATCCTGGCATGAAATTATAGTGTAAGCTGCATGCAAGCAATAAAATTCTGGCATGAAATTATAGTGTGGCTCCTTGTGTCAAAGGAGAAAAGAAAAAGACAACTAAATTAGCTGATCAGTTTTGCCTATTCAAAATATTTGATCGTCAGTTCTAGTCCCCCCCTCCTAAGCTTGTACTTTTTCTTGCATTAATAAAAATGCCCATCCTTGTGGTGGTTCTAATTTTTAATTCAACAAAAATAGTAATAAGAAAACTCAAACTTAACAAAGATGCGAAAGAGGTTATCAGACAAACCTCATCCACTGTAAACTCCCAATATTCTTTTGTCTCAAGCAGGTTTACTAAAATCGTCATTGATTCCAAAAACTTATGCATGAACTCTCCCCGATTTTTTCTTTTCCCACATTGATTTACAGCAGAACTATGGGCTGCACTTCCAGAAATTGTTTTACCAACACAAGAAGGGCAATACCAGTTTCCTTCCGGAATTTTTGTAAGTGGAGGACTCAAGCAATATCGATGATACTCAGAATCACATTTATCACACAATAGGACATTGTCATCATCTCTGTCCATGCCGCACACCTTACAAATTCCTCCATCCCAAGGAGCCCTAGGAAGTGAGATTTCATATATACTGGCAAGAAAGTCATCTCTCCCCTTCGTAGCTTCACCACTTGAACTATCAAGATCTGCAAACTCAGCAATTTTATGGACAAGGGTAATAACCTGGGTAAAAAGCACAAGCATGTTAAGCTCAAGTAAAGAAAGAGAGGATCCAAGAATTTCAAGGCTTCAATTTAGTCATGTCACAGTATTAGAAGGAAACTGGGGAATAAATATCAACAAACCTCTTTCTCATACAGGTCTTCAAACTGTTGGGACAATTTTTCAGCTACACCAATCAAATCAGATCGGTCTCCATATGCAGTGCGTATATTATTACAAACCTGACAAAAAAGTGAGTCAGAAAACTTGGTATTCAAATTGCAAGGTATTCATAAAATCATTTAGGATATTCACAAAACACTATCTGGACAAGGAATCAAAGTTTCATGAAGTAATGAGTGTGCCAAAATAAAAATTATCTATCTTTGTTTCTTGATGAAGTGCTCAGATTTCGACTAAATCTTCAGTTATTCCAGTCAACTTCATCAACTGATCAACCTTATAAATGAGATTAATTTATGGTTCATATTAACCTGAAAAATGAGAGTCAGTTGGGCATACAATAAAAAATAAGCAACTTGCAGAAAACATACCTCTCGAACATCGTCAATAAAAGCTTCATGTGATTCACCGTAGGCCCCACCAGCCAATCTCAAATCAATAGTCCTGAAGTCTAAAGGACGAGATACCATTGCAGGGTATCCAAGAAGTCCCTCGTCATCATTATCATTAGGACGTAGAAATGTTCTCCCTAACAAATTGCAGAAAACTCTATCTTTATCTGCAGAAGCAGCACGCCGTAGCACTATACGGCATTGTTTCATGATCAGATCAGAGAGATTGATAGTAATCCTTCCTTTTTCTTTCTTCTGAGCCTTTGGCCGTGGAATTTCCCGGCTCACATTTGCCAACACTAAGATAACTGCTCTCTGTATTCAATATAATAAAGAAAAGGACAAGTTCAGCTAAATTTAGCACACCCGTTCAGATAGCAAAACCCGTCTTTTGTAAAGACGCCAAATGTGTGTTTGGTAGGGAAAATTAGTTAGCACTATATAGCGTTATTAAGATTTGGGGTTTTATCTTAAAATGTCAAACATTGTTAAAAGGAGTAGTCTAAAACCTTATAAGTCAGTCTATATTTTCATCTTTAATCGATGTGAGATTTTATCCCTTAACATGTCCCCGCAAGATGGTCACTCGTTTGAACAGACCAATCTTGAAAATCTGTATGCTCATTTATTGAGTCTTAATCAGATCGAATCGTTCGTTAGAGTTTAATGGGCTCTGATACTATGTTAAGACTTAGGATTCCATCTAAAAAGGTCAAACATTGTTAAGAAGAATAGTCCAAGACCTTATAAGTTGGCCTGTGTTTTTATCTTTAATCGATGTGGAATTTTATTCCTTAACAAGTGTCAAAGAGGAAAACGAATTTACAACTTGTTCATTATGGTGCAAAGTACTATGTACCACATAGGTACCAAGAATTTATTGTTATGTGGAAAAAAATACAGCTGATAGATAAAAACACATAGATGAGAAAGTATCACCTTGGTGGGCCCGGATGCATTACCCTTGTAAACTTCCTTGCTGATAGAATGCTCCAATATCTTCCTAACTGATTCAGGTGGCTTTCTCTCTAAAGCTTCAAGTATACACTTTTTTATCCGAGCTCCAACATTTGTGGGCAGCTTTCTTACAGGTTCAAGCACTTCTGCCCACTCGGGGTATACACCCTCAGCCGCCTCAATAGTTTGAGTATCACTTCTTGTATCGGACTCTTTCACAAATATGCTAACAACCTCACTCTTACCCTTCAATGACCCAAATATTTGCTCCATAGCATCTGCAAGAATCTGTAAATTACATACATTACAACATCATTAATTAAAAGAACAACATTATATGAAAATCAAAGGAAACAAACATAAACACTACAGGTCATAGCAACTAACTTAAAGCTAAAACCAACGGTGCATAACAAAATCAACAAAAATGTCTTAAACTTATTGACCTCCTTCTAGCATACAACAAGAACTGCATATATTGCAGAATCCCAGGGATCATCAACCAGACATATCTCTGTTACGCAATTTCAGTCTAGCAATTTTAAATGAATTAAAATATGAGATGAGTATGAATCAAATTGAATCAAAATACAAGCAGGAACAGTTCAATAAACCCTACCACTGCATCGGCCTCCAATGCAGCTATGCCGGTAAGGGACCCACAAAGTGTTCCGCCATCACCTCGTAGGCAATGGAAGACTTTTCCACTCTCACGGCTTGCTATTTCTGTAGAATCCAGATTGCCCTCCATTGACAAAACAGCCAAAATGTATCTACGAGCAATTTCAGGCCAAGTTAGTTCATTGACAGGCAGCATATTGAGCTTTGCTTCTTTTAGAGCAGCTAAGCAATCAATATCTTTCTTCCTTCCTTTTCTTGATTTGTATTCTCCCGAATCAGAATTAGGACATACATGTACTGCCACCTTAGACAGAAGCTCTGGAACGAGCAGATTCAGCAGTGAGCCATGAATCCTGGCCAAAATTAAACCAGTACATCTGCTGAGACAGGCAACTCTAGCTGGAAAACCCACCACATCTCCATTGTCCAGATTTTTATATCCAGAATTTTGTGTAGGATAACTGTCTAACCAAGGAATTATTAGTTCAGATTCAAGTTCCTGAAAAGAAAAAGGTCTTCCTAGCCCCAGAACATCTAAGAAATGCCACGCGAGCTCCCAAACCTGATGAAGAATGGAAGAAATCATAAGCACATAAAAATAATAAGTTACTCTACTGACTTTCTATAAGTAATTTTTATCACAACCCCAGCATGCCCTTAATCCCAAAACATCAGTATAAGATACCTGAAGAGCATCTCCAATCAAGTATGCAGCAAGCTTTGAGCTCAGTGGTTTTCCAGGAGGGCAGGGATCCCTTCGTGAGTATTGTGTCTGCAACTTAGGTCTCTTGTAATTTCTGGAGGAATAGTCAGATTCTGGGTCACCTAGTAAATTGCTCTTCCTCTTTGCCAGGAGGAACCCACTTCCAACTGTTTGTAGGCTTGCCTTA